TTTTCCAGACAAAGCACAATATAGTACCGTATGATCGAATAAAAACGGCATCAGCGATGGCTATGAAAAGAAGATCGCTGTCATTTTATATGTGAAATTATATGGGAAATGTCATCGATCGTCATTTCCAAGCCAACTGGACGCCGTTTTTTTTCGATCATACGGTATTAAGGTTAAGACATAACAAATATTATAAGAAAGATCTTAATATAAATCACAAACTAAGTCTTAATTTGGTCTTGTATAAACATATAAACGGTATAAAACTAATAAGATCAAAACTCAACCTTCACCATATTGTCAAGATTTGGCATTATAGGAAACAAGAAATTACAGTAAATTAAGAAAATAATATCAAAGTACACGATATTAAATACTGTAATGTATTCTACGACACAAACCATCTCCCTTCTAAAGAGAAAAAGATAAAACATAAAGCTTATTCAGCTTATTTTAGTCTTATCAACACACTCTTCGATAAAATATATGTCTAAAATTGCTATTAATCCACTAACTTGATATTTTTAAGAAATTATGATACAAACATTATAATCAAAGTATAGTATATTAGTAACATTATAGGTAAAATGTTACCTCTATCTCATTGACGTGTATATTGTTCTATAAGACTCGTCATGGTAGTACTTCAATACATCAATACATATAATCAAAACTATTGTTGCCTGTAAATAGGTTAGGTTAGGTTAGGTTGCTGGGGTTTGGGATCATATTTGATCCCTCACTCGGAGGCCTTGGGCCCATTGCGATACCCCTGTATTGTTTTACCAAACCTTCCTCTCATTCTTTCTTTGCGTTAAAGCACTTCCAGCTCTTTGCAAAGTTCCCGATGTCGCTGATGTTGGCTTCTGCTGCTTCCTCTAGTCCCTCCAAAAAACCTTGCCCTAAAGTTTTAATGCGTCGGTATTCCAGTGCCGGACAGTGGCACAGCAGGTGCTCTATGGTTTCTTCTTCCTCTCCGCATTCTCTGCAGTAGTCGTCGTCGGAAACTTTCCATCTTACGAGGTTTACCCCCGTGGAACAGTTTCCAGTGACGACACCTACAATTATGCGTACTAGGTCCTTTTTATGCTCTAGTAGCTGTTTTGTCTTTTTGCTATCTACCACTGGCCATAGTCTTCGAGCTGTAGCACAGTCCTCACGGTGTTGCCACGTCTCTTGCTGCTTGGCCTTGATGGCAGTTCCTATAGCCTCCTTCAGTGTGTTGATCGTCAAAAGTGGTGGGTCATCTGCCACGGCCTCTCCCCTGGCCCCGTCTTTGGCGAGTCTGTCTGCTTCCTGATTGCCCACCACATTGCTGTGGCCTGGCACCCAGCACAGAGTAGCCCCACCCCGACGCAGCCAGGACAGTGCTTCTCGGCATTCCATCACAGTTTTCGATCTCACTGATTGCATGGTGATGCTTCTTAATGCGGGCAAGCTGTCAGAGTATATCACTATATCCCCTATTGGTCTATCAGCAATTTTCTCTCGTATACAACTAGCCGCTTCCTTTATGGCGTAAACCTCTGCTTGTAGAACATTACAGCCATCCGATAGCCTCAAAGATCGTCGGATGTCTAGTTTCTCTGAGAAGATGCCCACACCTGTGCCCCCTGAATTTGCGGAAGCATCTGTGTAGACTGCTATCTCTTGAGTGTTCATTACTCGGTTGCTTTCCCATTCTTCTCTTGTCGGAATGCGAATTCTTATCTTTTCTCCAAAATCATGTTTGGTGAGCATATAGTCCGTTTTCTGGTCTAGCAGATGTGGACTCGGTTCACCATGATTTTCCCTATCACTGGCAATATCCTCGAGTGACCGTAGTTGGTCTGGTTCCACAGATTGGATTCCCTTAATCTTAGGGCACCCTTAGCGGCCAGATCCTTTACGAGCCAGTCGATTGATTGCAAGTCCAGAATTGCTTCTAGCGCAGCTTGCGCTGTGTTGTTCCTTGCTCCAGTTGTACCTAGAGCTGCTAATCGCTGTACTTTTGTGAGGCTTTTTCTATTAGTCTCTTTAAGTACCGCTTCCCACCATACTAGTGCTCCATAAGTGATGATTGGTCGAACTATAGCAGTGTACATCCAGTGTATAATGTACGGTTGCAGACCCCATCTCTTTCCAAATAGTTTTTACATGCATAGAATGCATTTATTCCCTTTATCATCCTTTCCTCCGTGTTCCTTTTCCAGGAAAGCTTCGAGTCCAGAATGATTCCTAAATATTTTGTCTCCTTAGCAAGTACAAGTGTCTTCCCTTCCAGCTTTGGTAGCGTGAACTTGGGTATCTTGTATTTTCTTGTAAACAGAATGAGCTCGGTTTTGTCTGGGTTGATGCCCAAACCATTCCTTTTTGCCCATTCCGTTAACTTCTTCAGAGCAGATTCCATGATGTCACTGATCGTCTGCAAGTCTTTGCCAACGATCAATATTACCCACGTCGTCTGCATATGCCTTTATCCTAATTCCCTTCATTGTCAGAGAGGTCAGGATCGGGTTCATTACAATCAGCCACAGCAGAGGTGATAATACCCCTCCTTGTGGCGTGCCTCTTGTTGCACACTTTTTGGCTGAGCTGTTTCCCATCTCCGATGTGATAGTCCTGTTCTCTAGCATTTCTAACACCCAGTTGATGGTTAATTGCTCTACCTTTAGTTCCTCCATGGCTTTTTTGATCGCCTCTGTCTTTACATTATTGAAAGCACCCTCTATGTCTAAGAAAGCCACTAATGTGTATTCCTTATCCCTGAGGGATTTTTCAATTGTACCTACTACCGAATGCAGAGCACTTTCGACTGACTTACCTTTAAGGTATGCGTGTTGCGCAGCACATTGCTTCTCAATATCTGTAGTCTCCTTAATATGTAGATCTATCAGCCTCTCTAGTGTTTTCAGTAGAAACGATGATAGGCTAATAGGTCTGAAGTCCTTGGGTAAAGAGTGGCTTGGTTTTACCCGCCTTAGGTATGAAGACCACTTTTACCTCTCTCCACTTCTTTGGAATATGCCCCAAATATAGGCATTCCCGGAAGATCCTGGTTAGTAGGGTATTGATGCTCCTTGGAGCTTTTTGCAGCATGATTGGTGTTATTTCGTCCACTCCTGCCGACTTGTATGGGCTAAATGAACGAATTGCCCATGCTACCCTCTCCTCTGTGATGGTCCTGCTGATCTTCTCCCTTCTCTCTGCTTCGTCCCTGATCCATTGTCGTCTCTCGGCTCTTGCCGATCGATTTCGTTTGGTTCAGGGTCCTTGCAGCCAGGGAAGTGGGTCTCCATTAGAAGATTGAGGGTCTCGGCGTTGGATTCAGTCCACGAATCGTCTGGTCTCCTGATGTTGCTTGGTACCATCGGTTCTTTGGACAGTACCTTCCTCAGTCTGGCCGCCTCGTTGGTGTCCCTGATGGACTCACTGAATTCCTTTACCGATACCCATTTAGCCTCTCTTATTTTCTTTTTATATTCGTTGAAACACTTTCTGTCTGTAATAACTAGAAATTAAATAACTTGAAAGAAATAAAATAATTCTAATAAGTTTAAAACAATTAAGAAAAAATCCGTAAATGATAATTTTTAATTCTAATGTAAATATATAATAAATGTTATCATTATTACAATTTTATATATTCATAATACTTTCATTTCACAATCTTCATTATCCTTCTTACCTTAATTTTGGATATCAAGATAAATCTGAAATTATAAAATTAATTATAGAATTTGTATTATTATTGATTAAAGCCCCGTTCTCAGAACTGCGACTGTCGCCAGCGACACGACAAAAGAACCAATAAGATTTGTACAAAATTCAAACAGCTGTCAATTTTAAATTTAGTAGAGCTCCTATTGGTTGTTTGAAATGTCAATCAGTGTCGCTGTCGACACGACGTAGTTCTGAGAACGGGGCTTACACTCAAAAAAAAATTTTCAACTGCAAATAATTCAAAAATAAAATGCAATTTGGCAACTTCGACGATGTGCGCTTGCGTAGTATCGATGATCAAATGCAGCAAATATGGGCTTCAAGGTCAGCCACCGGATCCACACCTTTACCCAAAACCAACTTTCATATACCAGCTTATGTATTACTTTAAAAATAAATATTTTATTTATAAAGTTTTCGCGCCATACAAAATAGGTGATAAATCGCATGAAATAAATCGATATCACATTTATTGATCAGCTGATTGACAGAAACAGTGCTGCCACAGATAAAAATATAGTTTTTACATTTTATTGTGTATTACCAATGATAGAAAAATTTGATATGTCGACTCTTTTTACTTTGAATATTTTTAATCGTGATTTGACTTTAGAAAACACATAATGTATTTAAGAAAACAGAAGAAATATGGCTTTAAATATAACCATTTACATCATATTATTTAGACTCTTCATATAACGCAAAATTATTCATAATATCAATAGGTAGTTTATTAACGGGAAAAGACGTAGTTTTTGAAGAAAAACTACACGTAGTTAATCAGGTAAATTACGTCTTAATTAACTACTTCCAAACCCTGGGTCTAATTGATAAAAGCTTACTTCGGGCACGGCAAGGGCACGGCTTCGGGTTTGTCTTATTACCGATTCTGAACCATCCGAGAACTGTAATGCGTATGCGCAGAAGGAGATATGAAGACATTATTTCAATTGCGTATGCGCTGCAGAGTTCTAGGACGGTTCAGAATCGGTAATAACGTGGTAATAACAAGAACCCGAACAAAGCTAAAATCTAAAATATACATGCCTTGACATAAGACATAAGAAGACATTTTTTGAATTAAATGGATTAAATCTTATTTGATAACTATTTAATTCTTTTTCTCACATATTAGTAAATTTCATTACACACATCCAGTTTTGAAGTAAATACCGTTATTTTTATTCAATGCCATGTTCTACGCATAGGTTCTACAGATCATTGATTGAAGCTAAAAAGTGGAGTCAGCATAGGAGTCAGTTTTGCGTAGCTAGCTAGATATTCTGTGGTTTTAGTAAAAAGCAATATTGTATTTTAAGGTAACTATATTTTACAGTTCAACAATTTCAAACAAAAATAAAAAATATAAAGAGATATCAAGAAAGAATATGTTTAAGACCTGTTGTGCATGTTTAACTAAAAATACAAAATTAAATAAGCTTTCAGAAATTGTGGAAAATGATATTAGTTTATTATGGAAACTTCAGGCCTGCATATCAGAAATTGTGAGAAATATATTATTTTACATGTTTATTTTTCGATTTTTCTGTTTTCAACTTTTAGAACTGGTTGTCAATTTATGAAATATGCATTCCTTGTACAGATTTATTAAATATAGTGTATGCTTTCCGTCAAACTTGTATTAAATCAAATCAAATTAGAACAGAAAGACTTGACACTAGACAAGAAGGTAAACTACATGAATATGAAAATGAGATTGAAACTGTTAACGATTTAAGAATTAGTAATATATTAAACTTATTTCTGGTCAGTAGATCTAAATTTGAATATTTTAGATGATGTTAAAGATGAAACGTGTGAGGATTTTTCGGAAATATTAGATACTATTAATGACACCAGTGATATAGATCAAAACCATAAAGAAAAAGACTATGATGTAGACGATGTATATAATAATCGTAGGTTTAAAAGAAGAAGAAAAGCACTAAAATTTGTATGTGAAAAATGTAAAATGATCTTTCGTTCCAGTGTTAAGTTGGTCGATCATTGCATTAAAAAACATGACATGAAAATAAAAGATATACGACCGTTTACATGTGACAGGTAAACTAAGAGTGCCCTGTAATATTGTTTAGACCCCTTCTATAATGGAAGATCTTATAGGTGTCCAAGAACATTTTGCAGCTCTTCAAACTTACTTCAGCATGTGAAATATCATAAAGCAGTTAGATCTAATATGTGCACCTTCTGTGGGAAAGGTTTTATTACGAAAACTGACTTAAATATCCATGAGAAACATCATTTAAATAAAAGAGAATATAAATGCGACGAATGTGGAAAGTGCTTCAATACACACAAGGATATAAGGTGAATTGGAACTTAATAGATTTTTAGAAATAAAAAAATATAATATATGTAAAAAATCAATAGAATATGTCTATCCTTAGATCACACAAACTAGTTGTACATACTGCGGCAAATAGATGGAAATATCAATGTGAAATATGTAATAAACCATTTCCAATAAAATCAAACTATGACAGTCATATGCGAAGACACACTGGAGTTAGGAAATTCGAATGTCATTTATGCGAAAAGAAATTTATAGATAAATGTGTTTTACAACGTCATATGAGAACACATTCAAATGTTAAAGAACACAGGTGTGTTCATTGTGATAAAGAATATAAAGATCTTAGAGTAATGAAGGTAAGTAAATATATGAGTTAAGTTGGTAAGATATAGAGAAATCAATAAAAGTTGAAATAAACTGAAATTATACATTATGTGGTCTTTTTATTTTTTTAAATTTATATTTTCTTCAAAAAAATGTTGATAAAACAGTTTCTGTTGAACTTTTGGCACAAAGACATTTCAAATTTATGATTTCAGCCTAATAACTATTTAGTCGACATGTTTAATTTATGTCAATGGTGACAGGTATTGATAATTTCGATTCCAAATATCTCGAATATCGTTAAGCTACACGCACAACGGTGCGATCACGGCCGCGATCACGATCACGATCAGGGCAGTGATAACATGAGCGATACTTCTAGCACACACCAACGCGTTCACGTTCACCGCCGCGCCGCACCTATATGTAGCTGTATGTAGTGCGCCATCCTGTAGGTATACATAGGTACAAATTAAAAATGTGAATTATGTATACCGAAAAAAAAAACATTCTTAAATATTTACCTACAATATTTAAACTTAAACAACAAAAATGTATACATATGTACTATCCAATCCAATTGCAATTCCAATTTTGTTTCAAACTTTTTATTTTTAATTCAATTATTTTTGTAACTTCCATCGGATAAATCAATGGAATTTTGTGTATTTTTACAGCCTTAATTAACTGCTCTGTTAACTCCATTTCTAAATTGCAACAAGAAAAAACACACAAAATAACGGAAAATTCCTATCGGTTGGGTCAAAGGTTAGGTCGCGATCACGCGATCAAACTCGACAAGTTGAAGCTACACGCACACTGGTGCGATCACGATCACGATCAGGGCAGCGATAATATGAGCGATCATTCTAGCACACACCAACGCGTTCACGTTCACCGCCGCACCTATATGTAGTGAGCTATCCTGTAGGAATGTGTGCGTACAGCCTAACTCGTAGCGATTTTTACCAAGAGACTCTTTTGACGTAAAAAACGTCGTAAATGCAATTTTTTTACTCAGTTGTTTTATACAGGTAGGCACGAAAAGTTATTACTCTTCAAACCAGTTAAAAGATATGTAGGTGGCGCCCTCTACAAGTAATTGACAGATTGACATCAAAATCAAATTTCTCATGTCAAAAAACTCCCAGAAGCCCAGACACCAATTTTTATCCAAATATTGGCGTTACTTCAGAAATTATTTGGAACAAATCAAAATAAAAATGTAACTTCTACTCCCTGTATCTCCGAAACTATGCATTTTAGGACCGAAGTTTCCGGAATACATTCGTACCACCTTGTATAACTCTTAAGTGGGATTATATTTTTAATCAATTGAAAGTAGCTTGTGTGAAAGTGAAAAATTGGCGACAAAATTAAAAAAGTTTATTTGACACTTGTTAAAAGTCGTTGTGGCGTTCAGTCGCCAAATATTTTGATTTGAACTTTTATTGTTTTACCTATAGCATCAATGATTAATATGATTTAGACAACTATATTGTTAAAATAAAATGCTTTAAGAATGGCTTTTTTAGCTACATATGGCGAAAGTTCACGGCATAGGAGTGAATGAAATTAAGTTACCTTCCAAAGAAAAGAAGCATTTCTGTCATATCTGTTCAAAATCATACTATGCGAAAAATAAGTTAACAAGGCATTTATATAGTCATTCTGGAGAAAAACCATATCACTGCCATTTGTGTAATAAAAAATTTAGTGATAAGTCATATGTGAAACAGCATTTACAAAAAACGCATAATATTAAGAGAGACAATCTGGACAGTACTGATTGTTCGCATAATTTCAATAATGAAATGTTTATGTCGAAATATGAACCACAAGCAATTAATAATAAATATATTTAAATAGAAGTAAACTGTGTTTTTTGTTACTACAATGTGTCCTATAACTTAATTTTTTAGGGTATTAAGGAGACGAAGTTGACCTCTGTTAATTCTTAAGAAAAGAGATTACATTTCATACTTGGCAGTCCCCCACATACATTAAATCTTCTCGATTAGGACAAAACTTGGAAGTTTTATATCAGTTTTGGCCTGGCTCGCGATCTTTTGAAATTTCTAAAAGTTTTCATCTCTGGCTCGTGCCAAAACAAATTGGTCAATTTATCAGCTGATGTATGGGTTGGGTATTAAGAGTCTATTACGCTGTACTTTCGCGTCGCTCTTAGGGGTCGGGTAAAGGATGTGTGGTCGAAGGAAATATATTATATTTCAGAAATCTGCCTAAGGCTTAGCCCGATACTGTCGTGTTAAGCCACACCCAAAATTCCACGTGCTTTGATTAAACTTGAATAAGGTTTGTAGAGCTTCAGCATTTACCATAAAATAGCGAGTAATTTGTTACAAAACCATATAAATTATATATCACTGTAATCACAAAACTTCAATCTATTTCCGTATTGTAACGGAATTTTAAATGTCTTTATTTTCGAGAAAATTTAGTCCAAACATAAAGAATATTTTGTAGATATTTGACCATCAAAATCTTAAAAATAAAGAAGTTGTCTAAAAATGTGCTACAATACGGATATAGTATAATCCTTTATCTTTAATTTCCTTCTTCATTTGTGTAAAAATACTTAGCCAGTTTTACATAAAACGTTAAATGCCGAACGCTTATTTTGTTACTTTTTCGGACTAGTGAAATGGGCCTTTAATGAAGAGTCTGTCCAATGACAAAATATGACAGCAAGAGTTTAGCGAATAAGTCAAAAGTTACCGAGTGTGCTATTTAAAAATCAAAAGTTGTAGTAATTTCCGGTGAAACAGGAAGTGACCGAAAACAATTGAATACGTCATTCAATCCTAATTTATGTCGTATACTAACATACCAAATCCCGTTTCTTATCTGAAAAAAAAAATGAAAAAGTTATAGGGGTAAGCCACTTTCGAGACATACCCGGTACAAAAAATACATACAGGTTAATTTGTTTATTACTCGCGGCAAGAGCTTATTGGTTGAAATATGGCAACCTCGGCCCGCTCGTCGATAGACGACGCGACGGGACGAGTCGGCAAAAAACCCTATAAGTGCATGCGTTCTCAATAGGCAGTGTTGCCATTCTGTTCCCCTATAAGTAACTGTCCAGTTAACATGTATAAATTGTTCGTTCTATAAGAATAAATAACACAACAGAGCAATATATCAGCATTTAATATATTTCTTTAACATTATATACATTGTTCCATGTAAAATGATCAAACCTCAATATACACTCTCCTTGCTTTTTCCATAAATATTCTCAGATATACAAGCCCAGATTTTTGTTTCATGCAACCATGTCATGCTAAAAAAAAGGTTTGAATTAGCAATGTATTCAATAGGTATTTGGACTAGATTATATACAGGGTGGTTCTTAATGACATGCTAATATTAAGGGGACCTATCCTAAAAAAATCCTTTTATTATCTTTATGTTCTAAACATCTTAACTTTAGAAAGTTTCTAAAAAAAAACGTTTTTCTATAATAATATAAGCTTTATATTTATAATAACACAATCTTTATACTGTAATTGTAACACGAATAAATTATTATTATAAGACATAATAATAATATAATAATAATAACTTTATTGCCTAACAGGTATTTACCCATACAAAAGACAATTTAGACATAATAATATGAAATACAGTAATAATTAATAAAATATAAAAAAAATACAGAAAAAAAAAGTGTATCTATGTGAAACAAAAGATAGATGAAAAAGTAGATAACAATTAACGTTTGAAGAAATGAGTGTCCAGATGCCCTTTAAAACTTTGGAGGGAGTTGTGGAAAAGATCCAAATCTGTCTGTCTACTGATGTCGTTGAAACTGCAACAGGCACGATGTAGTGGAGCTCTGCTTGTAAGGACGGTACTTGGTGTTTTTGTATAAAACGTCGTTTTCATTCTAGTATTTACGGACGGTACATGCCAGCAAAGTTCACCGAGAAGAGAAGGAGAATCCAATAGACAATTAGACAACTTATATAGGAATATGATATACGAACGAAGTCTATTATCCTTTAACGAAAGGAAATTCCATCTCTTCAACAATTGGCCGTGATCATAACCTTGAGGAGGATATATTCCATCCTCTTTAAAAAACAATAATTTTAAAAAACGACGTTGGACGTTTCCCAGACGTTGCTCGTGGCTACTATAAAATGGAGACCACACCAATGCAGCATAATTATAAGAACAAACGACTTACCTGTAGGAAGTTCGTTCTGAATTATATGAGTATCCTCGTCCAAATAGATATACACCCGTAGTATCATTATCATACTTTATCGAGCACATTTTATTCCCAATTACGTAAAGAATGCATTTTTTGTTAGCCATAGGCCTTAGTCATCCGTACCCGACCGTCAGCCTTCTCATAACATTATTTTGCTTTTAAATCAAAAAAGAATTTCTTGGGAGGGCTAATATCGGTAGGGTCGGGACCTATCTATTTGGACGAGGATACTCATATAATTCAGAACGAACTTCCTACAGGTAAGTCGTTTGTTCTTATAATTATATTTCGTATCCTCGTCCAAATAGATATACACCCGTAGATGTTGAAAGAAAAGAAATTCTTTTGTGACAGTTTATATTTTGCTATTTTTTAAAACAGGTGATGTAAAATATACATAATCGTATAACATAACTATAAACGTATATTTAAATATAATATGTCAAACCCACAAAACAAAAATATATATAATCTACTCCTACATACATGTTATTATAATATATAACAAAATAGCAACAAAAAAATAATGTAATATAATATGCATCACATAATTATGATTCCAAATTAGTATAACCAAACCAAACACATAGTAGTAGTATAACACATACATATTATACTAAGGGTCGGCATTTTTGGTCTTGGGCGCCGGTTTTCATGTGTACGAAGAGTACGGTCAACATGCTTAGTAAAATAAGATATACTGAAAGGCGAGTATTTTCCCAAGCGCATGGAATCTAGCGTCAGATTAAGTAGTTATGTAATAAATACTTCGTATTTTTGCTCACTCCGACTTAGTAGATTGCCATAACGACTCACTCCTATACATGTAAACGCCGACCTAAAGGTTCGCTTGCCAGCGGGGTATTAGTATAACACAAAAACATTTAATGTTTTTGTGTATCGTTTTTTTTTATAATCGCGACACAGTCCCTTTTACCTAATTTTTTGCTTTGTTTAATTTGTATATTAATATATAAAAAAAGGTAAATAAACTATTTGAATTTGAATATGAATATAAGTATTTACATTAACATTATAGTATTTATTACATTAACAGAATAAAGAGCAATTTACTAGAGCAGTTTATAATGACTGCACTTACTTCCTGCCTGTTTTTATAAAGTTATTTTTTTTCCTTTATTCAGTGGACAATTAATTTTTTGAAATACTTTTGATGTTGATGTCCACACTATGGTATTCTTTATTTGATCAATATTAAATCCCTTTCTGTAGGCCGCTGAAGATGTCGCGTATGTAATACTATGAGTACTAAACAATTTTGTGTTGATTCCACTTTCGTTTAACACCTCCTTTATCCAGCGACTGATAGACTGGGAACTTGCCATTTTGTGGTTTTTTTATGAGTAAGAAAAAGATAATTCTCTTCCCATCTTAATGATTCAGTTCTTTTTAGGTAAGCTTCTAAAGTGCTGGCAAACATAAATCTTAATAGAAGAGTCGTCTACTTTAGCTATATTTTTTAGTGTCTGAATTCTCTGTCCAGTTGCAAGAATTAGGAGAGTAGCAAGCTTTTTTGTGAGCAATTCTAATGAAAAATTCGAGTGGACACCATCTTTTTATAAATTCAAGGACAAGTCAAGGACAATCGACCATTTCCAGATTTTAGTAGTGATAAAATTAAGGTGCAAATATTTTACACCTCCCATTCTATTACATTACAATAGGTACCCTAACCCGATTTTGATGCATCAATAATCTAGTAAGTAAGAGTATATTTAGGAGGTATGAAATTTTGACCTGCATATTCTGTGTTTCTGAGCCACCAGCCGTAAACTTCAGAAAGAAAAAAAAACTTGTTGGCACAAAGAACCGCATTATAATTTTCATTATTTTCCTTAAGGGCTTTGTATTTAGCTCATTCAAATCTCTTAGTATCTATAAAACCAGCTGTATCTATCTGCGGGACAAAAAGAAATTAAAGTGCTTGTAAGTTGCGAACAAACCATCTTATAGTTAGTATGGATACATACTATCTATATTTTCTGGAAAATTTTAGCACTAACTTTTTAATCTTACATTTCTTTGTGTCTGTAGGATACATTTTCATTAATTTTGTATTTAAGATAAAATCTAAGTATGAAATTTCTTGAGTAGACGTGAAGATACTCTTTTTTTTTATTTATTTATTTACTTATTTTTTTTTTATTAAATTTATATTTCCAGTACATTCCGCTAAATGTTTGTCTAATAAAAGAACATCGTCAAGATAGTTGAGTCACAAACAAAAAACGTTTTCCCTTAACAGTTGTTAATTACCGGTGTTTAGGGGGTTGAAAAACATATGCATAGTGCAAATTCCAAGAAAAAGAGCTTAAAATTCATTTTTTTTTACTATTATTATTATTATTATTTATATTTTAAAAGTATAATTTAAGTTCCAGTTTTCTGCAATGAGAGTTTCTGGATAGCTATATTGTTTAGGTTAGTCTAAAATTTTAGGTTTAGGTCTACTAGTTTAGGACCTAAAAGGTATCGTAATCGCAACCATATTTATAATAACCTTTTAAATAACTTAAAACAAGTTTGTTATGTGTTATTTTCAACCATTGGCTGTAAATAGTCAATTATACCAGCATATTTTGTTTTGAGTTTTAACCTGAATTATTGTCTCCTCCAATACATTCTGCCTTCTTTGGAATTCTTGTTCCCCCCTCGTTCTTTTTAAAATGAATCTTCTAGGAATTTTCCCCTTCTTATCTTCTGTGGACCTTCACCTGGATCTCAAAGCACTCATTTTTAAATGTTTTGATTTCTGAGATGAGCCTGCTAGTATTTTCAAGATTCTTGGCTTCTTTGCATTTTTCACTAAAACTTTACTAAAAAGCAAATCATCGCTTATTTGGCCAATCGCCACGCTTTTAATTTTGCTATTCAAGTGTGAATTTAATAAAAAAAGAAAACCTTACAATGGTTCGTACAGTAGGATTCTCCTAACATAACGATTTCCCTAAATCTATCAGATTTTAAGGGCAACTGCAACCTTGGTTATTTTCTTTGGAAAGTTCCACTAACCTTGTAATTGTTTGGTCTAGTGCATAGACAAACTAACAAAAGCAAGACTTTTCAAACGATTGAGGAAGTCGAATTATTGTTTTTGCGCTGGCCAGTTGAGTCAGAATTCATCGCGCAGTCGCACTTGTCAAACCTAACCTAAATAAAACGAAAAACGTTTTTGCCTTGAACGAACTGTTGAATTCCTGATTTTGCGTTTTGATTGGTTATTACTATTATTTTATTAGCGTACAAAACGAAAACAAGTAATGTAATACATTTTACACTTATGAAGAGCATAATAATTACTGTGATTATACATATTATTGTGATTACATCGCTAACGTACACAAACCGAAGGTCCTACAAATTGACTGTAAGTTATAAGAATCTTTATCTTTTAAATCTTTTTATGATTTGAATTTTCGTGCTTTATATTTTATAATAGACTCTAAATGTTAATATTTTTTAAATTCTTGTGGAAATGTGAAGTTTATGTTTTTGTTTTATATTTAAGAGGAATACTTATTAAAGAGGAATACGTTTTCGTTTATTTGACTTTTTTGTTTTTATATCTGTTACGTCCAGAAATTATTGTTTATTTTACCGATGGAAATGGAAATAAATGTATTTGATTTTAATAAACGCTTATTAATTAAACATCCTTTTTACAAAATACCCAATCCATAAGTAAAACATCCTCGTCTAAAAGACTACTACAAAATACACAATCCATAAGTAAACCGTCCTCGTCTAAAAGGCCAGTTGACGCAAGCGCGGTAATAAACTCTTATCAAACTTGTTGCCGTTTTGCAGTACAGCGTTGACGCGTCTTGCTTTTGTTAGTTTGTCTATGGTCTAGTGGTGACATTGTTTTACCTAAAAACGTGCTGTAGGTCTATCAAAAAATATATTTCTTACTTTCTGTTGAAGAAAACATGATTTGGACCTCCGGATTTAACCTCGGTCCTTAAAATATACTGCAATTGCTGGGGACGGGAAAAATATTTTAGACTGTCTTTCGTTTCTGTTAGTAATTTTAAGAAAGATAA